GAAGGAAGGAAGGAAGGAAGGAAGGAAGGAAGGAAGGAAGGAAGGAAGGAAGGAAGGAAGGAAGGAAGGAAGGAAGGAAATGAAAGAAAAGGAAGAAAGGAAATGAAAGAAAAGGAAGAAAGGAAATGAAAGAAAAGGAAGAAAGAAAGAGAGGAAGAAAGAAAGAAAAGAAGAAAGAAAGAAAGGAAGAAAGAAAGAAAGGAAGAAAGGAAGGAAGAAAGGAAGAAAGGAAGAAAGGAAGAAAGGAAGGAAGAAAGGAAGAAAGAAAGGAAGAAAGGAAGAAAGGAAGAAAGAAAGAAAAAAGAAAGAAAGAAAGAGAGAGAGAAAGAAAGAAAGAAAAAGAAAGAAAGAAAAAGAAAGAAAGAAAGAAAGAAAGAAAGAAAGAAAGAAAGAAAGAGAAAGAAAAAGAAAGAAAGAAAGAAAGAAAGAAAGAAAGAAAGAAAGAAAGAAAGAAAGAAAGAAAGAAAGAAAGAAAGAAAGAAAGAGAAAGAGAAAGAAAAAGAAAGAAAGAAAACGAAAGAGAGACAATGAAAGAGAGAGAAAAAAGAAGGAAGGAAAAAGAAAGAGATGGGAGGAAAATTAGTGTATTATAGCAGCAGCAGTAGTAGCCACCACAGTATCACAGTCATTCAGTGCAATATGTCTAAACATTCATAAATGTTTTCTGCATCCTAAAATGCCATGTACAAGAGACAGAGCATCCCACTGAGGTTAACGAATGAATAAGGTGCCCTTGAAGGTTAATTTGCACAAACAAAAGGTCAAGGAACACCTTCAAAACAAAATATTGATTAAAGCAAGTTAAATGTTTTGACTCAAAGGAGACACAAAGGATTAAAAAGCAAAATAAAGCAGTATGGATAAGAAAGGAACAGGAAAGAAAAAGCATCACCCCCAGACACAAAGGAAATGGTAGAAAACATATCTGAATCAGCTAGTCATCTGCTAACAAGCTGTAAAGATTTCCAATGACAAGTTGTCACATTAGTTTAGTGAAACTGAAGCAGCACTTATCCCTTTTCCTGTGCTTAATCTCTCAGCAAGCTGCACAGAAACATGCTACCACGTTTAATAGGATTAGTTGAGTTCACTTTCTCCTCTCTGGAGGTTTTGATGGGGTTTGTTGGGGATTTTTGTTTGTTTGATTTTTTTTTTTTTTTGTTGGGAGCATTATTATTAATTATTATTATTATTATTATTATTATTATTATTATTATTTCCTAACAATTCTATTTCCATCAATCAATGGAACCATCAAGGTTTTGAATTACATTGCACTCTGCTGAACCACCTAGGTTGCATTCACTTGCCAGGTTAAAGGCACTGTCTTCCAAAGGCTTCCTTCTTGAAAGGAGGAGCCAAGGCAAAGGGAAGCGAGGAAAGGCTCTCAATTCAGCAGTTACACACATCAGGGACCCCGTTCTCCTCTTTCACACACACACTGACAATGCTTTATTGATATCATAGAGCTATTTTTAATTCACATCAGCGCGTAAGCACGGGGCCAAGGCTAAGAGCAGAATCAGGCCTTAGTGGTTGTGGGGTGCTCTTTTTAGGCATGAGAGTAAATACTTGCACCTTCCCCACTCCTAAAATAGAAAAGGAAAGGGGAAAAAAAGAGGGAAAAGGAAAAAGAAAACCTGCTATGTATTCGCAGCCCAGTTCCCTCATTTAGTTGGAACAGACACAGCAAGGAAAATGATCAAAGAAAGGCATTTTCAACAGTATACCCCTGTCACTTCCAATTTTGTTGTCAGACTCCAAAGGGACAGAGGAATCACCCATGGCCATGGGCACACTGAGCAAGTTTGCTTAAGTTTCTTGCATCTGTGTTATTTTTCCCCCTTAAAGAAAGACATGCAAGCACAGAACACTGTCAGCTTGCAGGAAAGCTGTTATCTTCAGAGGCACCCTCAGGTTTCGAATCCAAACTTTGTGAACAGAGTTTACTTTTTGTTGGCATCCAAAATGCCCATAACTCAAAAACTGAACAGTGTGACTGCCCTTAAAGCTCTTAACAGCCAAGAAAAGGACCTGGTGGCTACCTTATGATCTATTCATTATTTGGAAAAGGACCTGGGACTTCTACAGGAGTTCGAAGACTGGAATCCATGACAGTTCTCTGGTGAGAGCCATGCTCGAGATCAGTCATGGGATGGGGGCAGTGAGGAATACAAACAGGGAGCAGCTGCCCCGCCACTGCCCAAGCCATCGGAAGCCTGGAGAAGGCACCAGGGATGACTTTGTTCTCCTCATATCCTGAACATGAGCTGGTGGACCCCTTCTGAGAAATTGCATTCTGCAGGAGCAAGGGCTTTTCCTCCAAGCTCTACAATTTGGGTGATAAGTGGGGGATTGCTTTGGCTCCTGAGCTTTGAAACACCAACTTGCATTTCTTAATCTATCCTCCAGGATTAAAAGAGAGCAAAGGTCTGAAGCACTCAGTGCCCCCAGTGGTGGGCGGGAGAGGGGGAAGCAAGCATTTCATTCCAGTTGTGCTTACTGGTGTGGCAGGTCTGGTGTGGTGAGACTGGGAAACGCTGCCAGACACAGGGCTGGAGGGCTGCAACCTGCAGGCTGCTACAGCAATGGGGCAGAGGGACTGGGTGACGGGTGCCTGCCACTGCTCTGCTGCGTGACCTTGGGGACATTGCCAGTGCCTCAGTTTCTCTTTGGGGTAAATCAACAGCGGCCGAAGTTAAACTGGTGACAAACTCAGTGTCAAAGGCAGCTATTTACTTGTTTCTTAGTGTTTGGCACGACTCGGCTTTATCTCTACGTGCATCCTGGCGTCCTTTAAGAGAAAACTAGAAACAGAAGGAAAGAATTCAAGCGAGTCATTCACCCGCCAAATTTAGCCTATCTCCCCCTGCGTCCAGACACACTTCTGCACCCTTGTTCCGCAGCCCCTGCGGCACTTAAGCTACAACCGGAGGCCGAACGTGTCACCGGGACCAGCCGAACCCCGCAAGAACAAGCAGGGAGCAAGTCCTCCCCTGCCGCGCAAGCGGAACAGCGCAGCGCGGCCGGGCTCCCCCGGGCCACCCCTGCCTGTCGCTCCCCGACGGCGGCGGGCCCGATGTCCCTGTTGCTGCAGGTTTTACGTTGAAACAACTCACGGAGGAGCAGTCCCGGCGGGCAGGGGCTCCCGCGGGCCGGGAGGGAGCGACGGGCACCGGGCACCGCTCCGGAGCCGTCCGGGGCTGGGGCTGGGGGACACAAGTGGTGGCAGCGGAGCGCCCCGGGACGCGCCCCGTTGCGTTTGCAATCACGGAGGTGGCCAGCACCGGTCCCGGGACTGGCCACGGGCCCAGGCACGGCACAGCACGGCTGGCGGGGGTACCCAGCGCGGCGAGGAGCGGGGCTGTCCCAACGCCACCAACAGCCACCTCCCGCCGTGCGAGCCCCGACGTGCCGGGCCCTACGCTCCCGGCGCTGCAGCGGCCCCGAAGGACTTCGCCTTCCGCACCGGTGCCGGGCTGTAGGACGGTGCTTCCGGATGTATCCCCTCGGGATCCGCCGGCCGGGGCAGCGGCGGGGACATTTAAGTTTGTTTTAGCGCAGTAAAAGCTTCCCAGCTGCAGCTCCGCTTCGGCCGGTCCCGAGCGCTTCCCTAGGGATCGGCGCGGGGTGGTTTGTCACATCGCTCACCCACCCGCGTTTCTGACCAAGAAGCGCGGATGTAGGGAGCCACGCGGCCCCCCGCGGGCAGGGCAGGCCTACAGCAGCGGGGCGGGCAGGGGGTGAGGCACGGCCCGGCCCCTCGCCGCTGGCACCGAGCGACGGCGCAAGTTTGGGCAGGGGATGCCCGCGCCAGCCCGGCCTACCGCGGCCCCGGCCCCAGCCCCAGCCCCAGCCCCGTCCGGGCTCTCCCCTCCCCTCGGGGTTCCCTGTCCCGCAGCCCCAGCGCCCCTCACGGCAGCCCCGAGGGGCGGGCGCGGACGGGCCCTGCGGGCCCGCGCCGTCCTTACCTGCCGCCGAGCGCCCTGCAGCGCTCCGCCGCCTCCCGTCCCTCGGCAGGACGCTATTCCCTCGCATCAATTTATTCCCTTGCAAGCCTTAGCAGTTTTCCCGAGGGAAGCCTCGCCTCCCAGCCGGCGGCCGGGCCGCCCTCCGCTGGAACCGGGGCCGAAGTGCGGCGCTCCCGGCTCCGCACCGCGGAAACCTGCGCTCCCGGCGGGACAAAACGCTCCCGGCGGGCTCTGCTCCGTGTTGCTGCCCGGACCCGCCGGCAAGATGCTCTTTTGTGTTTCTATCCCCAAAGCGTTTTCCCAACGCTTTCCCCGGCTGTGCCGACCTAGGGATGGGGTTTAGTTGCCCGAAATTTGGGGCGCGCTGCACGGGGGGCCGGGGCCGCCGGTGCGGACACGGGGTGTGCGCACCGGGGGCTGTTCCACGCACCGCAACGTGACTCTCGTTTCTGTGTTTATTTTCCGCTCCGCACATGGGGACGCTGCCACCGCTCCGGTCCCCTGGAAGTTTGCGACCCGCCTTGGGGAGCAGCACCCGATGCTTAACGCGCTCAGGACGCGCGCCGCGGGGCAGCAGCTCCCCGCGCTCCTCCTCTGTGAAAGCTTTCCCGCGGGGGGAAACATCCCGCGTGGGGCGCGGCGGGGGAAGACTTTCCTAAAGTTTCTCTGTCTCCCCCTCCTTTCCCTTACGTGGGGCGGCTTTTGTCCGCCACGGCGGGGGAGGGGGGGGGGGATGGGGGGGGGGCGCCCCGTCGGGCCGCGTTCATCCATCCGTCCATCCGCAGGTGCGAACCGTCCGCACCTTCCCGCGGGTGCGGGGCGGTGCTTCCCTCACTCCCCCCCTACTCCCCTCTTCCCCACGTTATTCCCTGTTCTCTCCCCCCGCTCCTGCCAAGTTCTCCCCGTCCCCCCCGTCCGTCCCAAGGAGCATCCCGATTGGGCGCCGGGCCGGGCTCACGTCACTCCGAGCGTGACGTCTAGTCTTCCTGTTTCCTTCAGCTGTGTCTTAAAGTAAATCTTGTGGCGGTGCGGAGCGATCGCTCGGCTCGGACAGCCCCGGCCCCAGCCCAGCCCAGCCCTGCCCTGCCCCGCGACCCGCTGCCGCCGCCGCCGCTCCGCTGCCCGCTCTCTCCCCTCTTTCCCTCCCAATCCCTCCCCTCTTTCCCTCCTCCCTCTCTCTCTCTCTCTTTCCCAGTTTATCCCGCTCCTCATCCGCGGAGCTTGCGCGTGCGCCCGTCCGCGTGTCCGCGTGTGCGGGGCGCGCGCGGTGGTGTGCATGTGCGTTGTGCGGGTGTCCCCCCTCCCCGCGTTGCACCGGCAAACCCAAAACACAACCGACCAAGCAACCCCACGCAAACGCAGAGGCTGCAGTGTCGTCGCCTTTCGCACGGAGTAAGTACCCGCTGCCGCTCCGCGCCCCCTCCGTCCCTCCCGCTTCTTTCCCCTTTTCTTTTATTCCTTTTTAATCCTTGCACTGCTCTGAACGGCCGTGGGGGGGGTGTTGACGGGGGAGGATGATCTCCCTAGCAAAATGCCCATCACCGTTACCCAACCTGCGCTTCTTTCTCCAAGGGGACAAAACTGCAGGGACTGTCCCCGCCGAGCAGCGCGGCCCCGGGCGGGGAGAGCGGTTGGGGGGGTCCTGAGCACTGCGCCGCGCGGAGCGCTCCCCGCAGCCGGCCTCGGGCCCCAGAGCAAGTGTTAGGTGACCCCCCCCTTCCCTCGGCGCTGCCACCTTCCGCGGACCGGCCTTTCGGTCCTCCCGCGGGCTGGAGCGCAGGTTTGAGGGGCCGGGAACCGCAGCGAGGATTTGGCTTCTTTTTGTTGTTCCGAGCTCTTTCCTCACCCCGTCCTCACCGAAGTTCCCCGTCCCCTGCGCTGAACTCCCGCTCCGCTCCCCCGAGCCGCCTCTTTGTCTGGTTTATTATAGCCGCCTGGCTTTTTGTCTCTTCCAATTTGCTTGCCATTTGCATGTCGCTAGTTCTCCTGCTCTAACCCCGGCCGGGAAGGGCAGGGAGTTTTTATCCTCACTCTCCTTATCCTTGCAATTACTTTTTTCTTTTTTTTTCTTTTTTTTTTTTTTTTTCCATTTCCAAGGGTGGGACGAGCTGCGAATTGTGGAAATGTATGGAAAATGGGATCAGAGGGGTAGGTAGCGAGCACAGGAGCTCAAATGCAAGTCGCGGGATGAGAGCCTTGATCTGGGAAAAGATGAGGATTATTGCTACTTTCTCCTTGTTTGCCTGTTGTTTGTTTTATTATCGGGGGGGGGGGGGGGGGCATCTAATTTTTCCGTGCCCTTTGATGCTGATATTCCTGGCTTTTCTTGGTATTCTCTTTATCGGCCGAGTGACCCGGCGCACTTTGCCATGTGTTTAAACGGAGTTAAAGCGCAGGAGGGGTCGCGGGGCCTGAGCGGAGGGGGCGCGGGTGCGCAGGGTTGGGATACAAGGGCCGGGACGGGGTTGAAGGGGGGGGGGGGGTCACCGAAAATGCGGGGCCCGACGGGAGCGGGCGGAGAAACTTGCGCGTATGCGCCGCGGTCGCGCCGGGCCGGGCAGGTGCGCGGGGCGGGCGCGGAGCGAGTTGGGTGGCTGTGCCCGGGGGATCGGGGCCGGCCGCGCGGAGCGCGTCGCTGGGTCGCTGTGTGCGGCGCGTCCGGAGCTCCGGAGGGGTCAGCGACACGGACGCGTGTCCGCCTGCGGGAGGAACCCCCGCGGAGGGCATCAGCTTGGCGTCGGCGACCGGGTAGGAGATGCCGGTCGCGGCTGGCGGGGGAAACGGCCGCAGCGTAGAGGTGCCCTTGGATGTCGGGCAAAAGTTGCCAGGGCGAGAGTTTGGAATCCCGCCGCTTTCCCACAGGTCCCGAACGCCGCGGCGGTCCTGGCTGCGCTGCGAGTGTCCCCTCAAAATCCTCCTGAGACGTGGAGGGCACCTGGAAGCGCATCCGCGCATCCCTGGCCGTAGTTGGGTGGTGGAAAGGGCCGGTGTTGTCTAGCGCAGGGTACGGAAGCACGGCTGTGGCACCGCGAGGCGTGTAAACTCAGGTTATTTGTGACTTCCATCATCTGCAGAGGTTTGGCAGCGCGCAGGGTGAATCGTAGGGAAGCAGTTTCCTTACCCGTAGATTTTCACGGGGCTCATTCCCATGACATCTTCTCGCAGCCTTTTAGTGAGTTGCCATCAATCACAAAAAGTTCACAACCACTGTAGCTCTTTTTGCATTTATTTTAGTTGCTTTTTGTCCAGAGCTTACCTTTAGCAGCGGTGTCGCATACTGTGGAATGTTTATGTCAAGGGTAGACAGGGTATCATGAGTTGAACTGCGATAAAAAGTACAGCGTTCCTACTTTTCCCTATGAAATTATTCTGTGAGGTGGCTGACATTCACTGAGTGGCACTGTCAGTATATACAGTTCACTTCCCTGCCAGCTGAACTCTGAGGCCTCTCAGTTTGTGGGACTGGTTTATATGGCTTCTCCTTTTTATTATCAGTTGATAAATTAAGATATTCATAAGACTGGACACATTTTGAAATTGGAGTTTAATTTGATTCAGAGCAGAATTGTAAATACCGCACTTTGTAGTCTCTAAGCAATGATTTATTCTGCCTCGAAGTGCAGCCTAACTGCTAAGGTAACTAATCCAAGAACTGGGATTTTAACGACATCAGGCAGCATAGAAAGAAAATGTCTTGGAAAACTTGGGCTGACTTTTTAGTGGGAATCTTGCGAACATTTCAGTCTGGTCTCTGCACAGAGACCGTGTGAGTTATTTGCTTCATGATCAGTGAAATAACAAGGACCAAACTGGCCTAAGAGGAGGAAAATGTTTTCAGTTTTCTACCTGGAGCAGCTTGCTTTCTTTTTCCCATTCAAAGAATCTGTGTCCTCGAGCAGTGCTGAGCACGGCTGCGTGGTGGAGGGCCCTGCATCTCCCCAAAATAAAGGCCTGAACTAATGAGATGCCGAATGCCTCCTGTTAGCGAGCTCCGTCAAATCCCCCTGCAGCCGATGGGAATCGTGGATGTTTGGCATGCTGAACACCTTGCTGGATTGGGTACCACCAGGTTCCTAAAACAAGGGTCACTTTTTTTCTTGAAGGCTCTTTAAACAGGTGGCATAATTTCGAAGTAAATCAGGCTCTAATTTTCACTTCTTCTTATGGAAAAATCCTAATGAAGTAGCTGCTGCTGCACAAACAGTTGCTCATCATTTCTGCCTTGTTTCAATTTCTTTGATTAGACATCTCAGCTACAGGGGCCAGATAACCCTTTCTCGCAGGAAAACTTGTGTCAGAGCTGCATAGGAAGGTAGCGCTTTCTCATTAGTGGCTGACGTGATTTTAGCACCGAACAGATCTATGGTGAATAGTTGTCATCTGTTCTTCAAATCTGAGCTGTGGTTTTGTGCATGGAATGTTGTTGACCGGAATAATTTTTACCCTGTGCTTCCTGGTTGATTCTGGCATAGCCATACCCTGTGTAGCGTTTGAGAGTGAAAGATCTAAATATTTCTATTAGCAGAAGGGTGTTACATTTCTTGTATGGTATTGGCATAGTCGGCTGACATGAAACAGGCAGATGCTGGACCAAAGAAAGTACTCAGCTTGAGAAAAGATAGGACCAATTTCAGATCTATAAAATGACACCTCCTTGAATTCATCTGTGAATATTTGTCAAGTTTAGCACTTTGCTGCTGTGTGTTTAATGGCTGTGTAAGTTAGGCTGGGGTCCTTCAGGATGGCTGAAGAAGGTGGGCTTGAATTTACATCTCCTTTGCATCTTCCAGGTGTATGAATTAATCCAGGAGAAAATTATTAGCATCTTTGTAGATTGAGATGAGTTAACAAAATTGATCACAGAAATGGATTGATTTATAATGAGTGTGGTGAAATACCTGACATATTGCTTTCTACAGAGCATTCTAGCTGAAGGTTTGGTAACAGTGACTCTTGGATACCTAGAAATTAATCTGTTTCCACTTAAAATGTCAGTGCCTATCAAATGGATATGAAATAACGGCATGTCTGTAGCTGCTGTGCTGTTACGAGGTTATTCATAGTTACGTTGTAATCGTATCTCCTTAAACAAAAGGGTTGAAAGTAAATTTGTAAATAAATACTACTGCTATGTTTATGGATGGACTTAGAGAGTGCCGAGGCCCTGGATATGATTTTTAACTATGTGGGCATGGAAGATGTTTGGTTTCTGAGAAAGCCGCATCGTGCGAGTTGAGGCTCGAGGTGTGGACAGTGAGTTTAGCACTTGGCATGCGAGGAGTATCAGAGTGAGGTGTAAAGCAAATTTAACCTTCACAGATTTAAAACTCTGGAACTTTGAGAGAAACAGTGCTTCTGAAGATTTCTACATAGATCTTGACAGCCTAAGCTATGTATTTCTGGGTAGTTGTATAGAGATATCAGATGTATGAAATACAGTTTTGAGACAATGTGCAGCCAAAGTACTGGTATTACGTAAAGGATACAGACTTCCTAATTATTTATTTTTATACCTCCCAGGAGTTGCTTATTTAATCAGTTCTAATCTAATCAGTCTCGAAGTCTGCCTGTCATGGCTGGGATTCTGCATCCTGCTGACGCGCCATCCCACTTTCCTTGAGGTGTGAATTGGTTTTGGTCCTCTGAGACCGAAGTATTAACTGGCCATTCAATATCCATTCTGTTTTGTCAAGCTAAAGTAGAACTATTTTTCTTACTTCAGCCTTAAAGCTGGCAGTCTGTAGGCTCAGGATAACACCAGGGCAAATGGAAGATATTGCTTAATACCCAGGTTAAGTGTACGATAACTCCGATGCCTTCAGCTTCCAGCGAGGGTAGGAGGGTGCATCCGTCTTCTGGAGCACCTCATGCGGTGGCAGGAGTTGGCTGGAAGGCAGCTGCTGGTAGAGGGGCTCAGGGAGAGGAAAATGGACACTGGGGAGGAAGGATGCGTGGCAATGACCTTCCAACCTGGCGCAGGACAGCCTACTTCCTGAGCTTCTGACTCAAGGGTACAGCAAACCCTCCCCATGCATGTCCTTGGTTGGGATTGGGCAAGAGAAAGGCAAACAGTGGTCAGGCACCTCACATTTGCTGGGAAGTGTGCAAAACCCGAAACCTGACATGAGGCTTTCGGTGTGGGTTGGGAACTTATTGGTGTATCTCAATCAAGCATAGCTTAACTACAGGAAAGGAAGGAAAAGTGTGAAGGTTTTTTGGTAGGGTTGGCGTGTTGGGTTTTTTTCCTGTATTGTTTTTCCTTTCCTTATTGGCAAGTCTTATCTTTCTGGAGAACACTTTTAGAATATCTTCCAAGCAATAAGCAAGAGTGCTTTTGGTTATCTTGCAATTAGTTTATATCACTTTCAGATGCACACCACTAGACTCAGAGGTCAACCTTGACCCTGGTTTATTCTATGCCAGTCTCACCTGCTGAAAAACTCCTGTGGTAGTCGCCCCTTTCCACCCCCTGAGGACTTGGCCCTTTATCTGCAAAACCAACCCCTCTGAAATCCCAGCTCCTCAGGTTTTTTGTTTAGGTGAAGACCTACTTGTAAAAGCTTGATTCTGCCCCCTGAAAAACTCCATTTGCATTAACTGAGAGAAAGCAGGAAACGGTCTTTTGCAAGACATACTTCCAAGCAGGGCCTGATCCTACCACACCTAACATGATTTTGGTACCCTGCACCGCAGGGGAGTTGCTCGCGGGGTGGGATGCTGCCTGCTGTGCAGGTGGTAGGATTGGGCCCCTGCGACAGAACTCCTTGCTATTTTTGATTTTGATATTTACCTGATTGTGAGGTAGCCAAACTTCACTTGCTTAACGTGCTTCTTGCCAAGGAGCGATCTCTGAAGACAGTGACCTGATAACAGTGTGAGGCTCTGGATTTACCGTCTGAATTCACAACGCTTTTTTGATGGTGTTTTTGTGGGTTTTATCACTCTTTGCTTTCCTGTATGCAAGGAGCCAGTAATGTAAACAAACATCAGGTCCCTTGCATAACTGTCTCTGACACCAAATTCTTGTAGTACATCCACAATACGTGGGCAAAGGCTGCAGAATAAACATAATGCTTCTAAGTATTAAAAGCTTCAATTTTTTTTTTTCATCCTGGTTGCAAACTAAGCACTGACTCCTGTCTTGATTTTACAGATTATTTCATGCTGAAATTATGTCTATTTGCATGGATAGTCATTCTTTAAAACTAGCCACAGATGCAGTCCTAGGGAGCACGTAGATGTTTTTACAGGTGAACCGAAAGAGATGGGAGCAATTCCAAAAAGTCTGCATGCTGCCTTTGGCAATATACCCTGTTATTGTGAAGATTGTGCTCTGTTAAGCAAATGTAAAGTTTAATATTAGATAAGCGTTGCATGAAAAAGACTTTAATTCTCCTCAGTGTTAAATGTTAAGAAAGAGGAAAGTGTGTCTAGTGCTTTATGTGCGGTGCGAGTTTAGCATCACTAGTTAATGAGTCACAAATTATGTCAAGAGCCTTTTACAAAATGCAAGGAAGTGTGTTATCTTTTTATGCTGTGTTCCTGGGAAACAATGCGAATTCATATAAAGGGAAGGTGTCTTGCTTTCTCACACAGCTGATGGATGTTGTTTCTTTCATCTTCCCATATTTTTTCTCATCTTTTCTGCATGTCACAGGAAATAAGATCCTGTGTATTCAAAAATATTACATGTAAGAAGGGCTCTACTGGGCATTTGATAAACGGTTCTTGTTTTTTTTTTCTCCAAGCAGAGAGATGTGGCACCGAACATGCCTCGTTTCTGCTGTGCAAAAAATATAACATCATGTATTTTAGTGTAGGAAATACAAGAATCTTCAGCCTTTGGTAGCCGGGCTTGCTTGGAGAATGGAAGTTAAGACAAGGGAAGGAATGTATGGGGAATTCAAACCACTGTCATGGCTAGTCAGTGGTACAGACAAGGCTCTGTTAACAAACTGCATTTTGGCCTTTATTTGATCACATCTCTGTAAATATAATAATCCCAACCATTAAATATTTTAATGCATTTTTGCAGTGCTGAATGAATGTTTCCCTAATGATTTAATAGAGGCCCTTTTTTCCCCCCAATGTAAACCTAAATGCGTCAGTGCATTTCACATACACCTATACTATCCTACCTACAATTATGTGCAAGTTGATATTTTGACCTTTGGATGCTTATTTAACGGTTTTATCTCTCTTTAAAAAGCAAAACTACAATTATGGTTTTTACATCGCAATTGATTTTTTTTTTTTAATCCAAATTTTATACAATTTCTTGTTTTAACAATAAATCTTAACCAAGGAGTACTTTCATCTTCTTTTGTAACATGTATCTCAATGCCCTAAATTTAATCAATTGGTTGTCAGAGGCTGTGTTCTTCTAATCTACTCTTTCTTCTGAAGATAAACAGTATCATTTTAGGCATTTGTGCAAGAGAATCATATTACTGGTGCTTAAGCAGTTTTTGCTTTTTTAAATCTTAATCCATCTTAAACCAGTGGAGCAGAAATATTTAAAAATGTTTCATTTCAAGCAGAGTGCATAATAAATTGCAATAATTGTAATGTGCCATAAATCCCAGAGCCTATGCATTTTGCATTTTATTCAGGATTGAGGTCAGGAAATTTGGAGAAATTTAAAGAAAATGATTCATCAGTCCTTTTGTTCTGTTGGCCAGGGTCCCAGGATTCTTGAGCTGAGCCCAGCTGACAAGCTTTTGAAGATGGCACAATAACAGTCCAGTGATGCCTGACCATGACAGCACAGCCCTCTTAAGCAGGCAAACCAAGAGAAGAAGAGTTGACATTGGAGTGAAAAGGACGGTAGGGACAGCATCTGCATTTTTTGCAAAGGCAAGAGCAACGTTTTTTAGTGCCATGAATCCCCAAGGTTCAGAGCAGGATGTCGAGTATTCAGTGGTGCAGCATGCAGATGGGGAAAAGTCAAATGTACTCCGCAAGCTGCTGAAGAGGGCGAACTCGTATGAAGATGCCATGATGCCTTTTCCAGGAGCAACCATAATTTCCCAGCTGTTGAAAAATAACATGAACAAAAATGGTGGCACGGAGCCCAGTTTCCAAGCCAGCGGTCTCTCTAGTACAGGCTCAGAAGTACATCAGGAGGATGTATGCAGCAACTCTTCAAGAGACAGCCCCCAAGAGTGTCTTTCCCCTTTTGGCAGGCCGACTATGAGCCAGTTTGATGTGGATCGGTTATGCGATGAGCACCTGAGAGCTAAACGCGCCCGGGTTGAGAATATAATTCGGGGTATGAGCCATTCCCCCAGCGTGGCATTAAGGGGCAATGAAAACGAAAGAGAAATAGCTCCGCAGTCCGTGAGCCCCCGAGAAAGTTACAGAGAAAACAAGCGCAAGCAGAAGCTGCCGCAGCAGCAGCAGCAGAGCTTCCAGCAGCTGGTTTCGGCGAGGAAAGAGCAGAAGCGAGAGGAGCGCAGACAGCTGAAGCAGCAGCTGGAGGACATGCAGAAGCAGCTGCGCCAGCTGCAGGAGAAGTTCTACCAGATCTACGACAGCACTGACTCTGAAAATGATGAAGATGGCAACCTGTCTGAAGACAGCATGCGCTCCGAAACCATGGACGCGAGGGCGGGTGACTCCGTCGGCAGGTCAGACAATGAGTTGTGTGAGCTGGACCCAGGGCAGTTCATCGACCGGGCGCGGGCCCTCATCCGCGAGCAGGAGGTAGCGGAGAACAAGCCAAAAAGAGAAGGTCCCAAGGAGAAGGAGCAAGGGCCGAACGCCTTCCACCCCGAAGGCAAACATTTGGCCGAGACACTGAAGCAGGAGTTGAACACCGCCATGTCCCAAGTTGTGGACACGGTGGTCAAAGTTTTCTCCTCCAAGCCCTCCCGCCAGCTTCCTCAGGTCTTCCCGCCCCTCCAGATCCCACAGGCGAGGTTCGCCGTTAACGGGGAGAACCACAACTTCCACACGGCCAACCAGCGCCTGCAGTGCTTTGGGGACGTCATCATTCCCAACCCCCTCGACACCTTCGGCAGCGTCCCCATGCCCGGCGCCACCGACCAAACCGAGGCGCTGCCCCTTGTCGTCCGCAAAAACTCCTCTGACCAAGCGGCCTCGGCCCCGCCGGCGGGCGGCCATCACGCCTCGCTGCATCAGTCCCCGCTCTCGGCCACCGCTGGCTTCTCCACCTCCTCCTTCCGACACCCCTTCCCGCTGCCCCTCATGGCCTACCCCTTCCAGAGCCCCCTGGGCGCGCCGTCGGCCTCCTTCCCAGGGAAAGACCGCTCCTCCCCTGAATCCCTTGACCTGACCCGTGAGACCACCAGCCTGAGGACCAAGATGTCGTCGCACCACATGAACCACCACCCTTGCTCGCCGGCACACCCCCCCAGCGCCGCCGAGGGTCTCTCCTTGTCCCTCATCAAGTCAGAGTGCGGCGACCTGCAAGACATGTCTGAAATCTCACCCTACTCGGGAAGTGCAATATCCTTTTTGAAAGGCGAGGCCATATCCTGGCAGTGGCTTGGTGGGAAAGGATGAGGGGCCACGCTCGGGCCCACCTAGGGGCTGGGTGAGGCCAAAGAAAATACCGCAGGCCCAGGTAGAGGTAACAGGAAGGGCTTCTATAGGTGTGTCGCCAACAAAAGACAGGCTAGGGATAATGTGAGTCCTCTCCAAAAGGAAACAGGAGAACTGGCTACCCTGGATTCGGAGGAGGTTCAGGTTGTCTGTTCAGCCTGGAGAAGAGAAGCTGCGTGGAGACCTCAGAGCAGCTCCCAGTGTCTGAAGGGGGCTACAAGGATGCTGGAGAGGGACTCTTCATCAGGGACTGCAGCGATAGGACAAGGGGGTGGTGGGTTCAAACTGAAACAGGGCAAGTTCAGGTTAGATCTAAGGCAGAAGCTCTTCCCTGTGAGGGTGCTGAGGCGCTGGCACAGGGTGCCCAGAGAAGCTGTGGCTGCCCCATCCCTGGCAGTGTTCAAGGCCAGGCTGGACAGAGCCTTGGGTGAAGTGTCCCTGCCCATGGCAGGGGGTTGGAACTGGATGATCTTAAGGTCCTTTCCAGCCAAAACCATTCTATGATTCTGTGTGTTGTCTGATGGTGCTCCTTCAGCAGTGGTGTTCACGTAAGAACATAAGTCCCTCTCCTGGCTTTTTCGACTGCCCTTGGTCAGGAAACAGCCAAGCCCACAGTACAGATGCCAGTGGGTTTCCCTGGGCTGGGGAGGTGACCGAGGGGGCATTGACCAGAAACCATTCAAGCCATGGCCACCTTCTTTCCCTCCCCTGCCAGGCCAATGTGTGACCCATATTAATGGTGTTATGGCTGGGGCTCGCAGAGAGCCATGGTTCAGTCGTTGGTGAGCCTTCAGCTCCCAAGTGTGTAAGGGAAATGAAGCATAAAAGACACAGGTACTGGTATATTCAGCCTGCATCAAGTTCTTTCCCCCACCCAGAGGTCTGTTCCTCAGCCCTTGTGCAGCTGCCTGCTATGCATGATTAACCTCTGCTCAGCCATACACTGAAATCTTTTGTCCTAACGTACACAAAGCAAATTATTTTGGAAAGCTAGAGAGAACAATTAAATATAAAACTTCAGCTGTATTAAAGTTACAGGACACTTCCCCTGCTTGAAAAAGAAAAACCAGATGAGAACAAAATCTCAGTTTTTAGCTCAATAGCAGGCTTTAGTTAGGGGGAAAGAAAATCTATCTCTGCCTTTATTTAGGCACATCCAGACATAGGAATGATCTTTTTTTTGCTGTTTGGTTTTTTTTTTTCCCCTGGAAAATAGTACTAGTTTGGGTTTGTTTTTTTTTCTTTTTTAGCAATATCACCTCCCACTCCTTCCATCTTTCCCCCTAATGGGCTTTTTGGTCAAAAGATCTTCTTTTTTCCAAGCACAGTCATATTAAAAGTGAATTAAAACCCCATGTCTGCCTGATGGTAAAAGTGAGGATTTGCATGAAGGGTAGATGGACATTTTTTCCCAACTCCGGGACCCCAGCAGAAGGCAACAGCACAAGTACAGAGCCTTAGATGCAGCTGATTTCGTTCCCAAGTTGATGAAAGTAATTGCGGCTGAATAACTCTGCTCGTCCCTGCGTAATGGTAGTGATGGTGAGGACCTTGTCTCCTTTCCAGGGGCATCCTGTGAATACAGATGCCTGAGGCCATGCCCCATCACTGGGTATCTTCTAGGTGATGAATAACTTTGGTGGCTGTAGATTAATTTAAGCACATTTTCTGTAGACATGCTAAATCCTCAGGTGCTGGCAGGGCTCGAGTCCTGCTGGGTACCTGTACATCCCTGCCCTTCCGTGGCAGTGGGAACCACTGCGATGAAGGAAGGTGCTGCAGGTCCAGAGCTCACCACCACCAGTCTTTGATCTAGCTTAGGTCAAGTCTGAGTCAGGAACTGCTGTTATCTGACCTTTATGAATAGACCCATTTCTACAGGGGGAAGTATTCCTAGTTTGAAAGCACCTTCCTTAGCTATTGGTGTTTTTGAGAGGCAGTTGATAGTGGACACGATGCTTGAGGGATCTCTCTTCCGAAAGAGGATCTCTGCTGTGTTGGCAGCAGGGACATCTCCTTGCCATATATGTTGCATGGCAAAACAGTTGGTATAAATCCAGCATCAATACCAGTTACTGCCAGTTAGTTTTGGAATTCCAAGTTGAAAATCTCTCCTGCATATTGACACTCAAGCAGCGATGCTCAGAAAGCAGAGCTGAGGTCAGGAGTGGGAGCCAAGGGCAAGACTCAGGCCAGGGCAGTTAAGTAACTTGTACCAAGCAATACAGTGGCTTACTAATTGTTTGTGTGTAAAAGTAGTTCTTCCATCCCGGGAGAGGAGTGGGCAGAGGTGGAAAACGCCAAGTGTAGGAACTGGGAGTCCTAGAACTCCACTTGGTCTTCTCCACCTGTGGAGCATCTCTCCCTTGCTCCTGCCATTTCTCCCCTTGTCTCCTGCTTGTTCTCACTGGTGGTCACTAATGGAGCTTGTTGTTTCTCCTGAAACAAGGGTGTGAGAGTCCCCTGCTGCTCCAAGGCTCAGATGGGAAACTTGGGGTGCTAGAGTGCTAGATTCCCTTCCTCCCTGCTCGCCCTGTTTCTTCCTCTGCCATTGGGAAGGCGCTCTGACCTTCCCACCTAGACACTGTTGCAGGCTGCAGTTTGATCTGGGTTTAGATACAAGACCTGTTGGGACAAACAGATCTATTAAATAGAGCTTCTACACAACGTATACAGCTCAGCTGTGGGAACGGATGTTTTTCCCTAGCAGCAGCTTGTTTGTCCAGGTAGTTTGCAGTTTCCAGGGAAAGGCACAATATGGAGCTTGGTGTGTTTGTGGTCGATTCTGTTGAGATGCTTTTATTTTATGTGCTTGAATGTGTGCATATAGGGAATAGATTTCTTGAGAGAAGCAGATCTTTCTTCCCTGCAGAAAGCAACATCTGTTTTCCTGGACAGTATGGCCAGGATGAGAACATAAGACTAGCACATACAGCCAAGTTCAGATTTTAGTAGTAAGCTAAAGCCCTGAACTAGCCTGCGTTTTGGGGGGTTCTTTTTGTTTTGTTCTGTTTTGTTTTTAACCAAGGCCTGTAAAATGTATCAGATGGTTCTTTGCTGAATTGCAGAAGGAAATGGTTAATGTTTGCATATGTTGCTGAGCAAGATAAGATGCACCTGCAGCAGAAATTCCCATCTTGGTCATGAATGCAAGCTGTATCTTTGCAAACTAATCTGTTTAATCAAATATTAAGTTTTATTCAAATCGCAAAAGAAACAGGCAGCGAATTGTTTTGCTGCATGCTCTTCCTTTGTCATGCATCCTCTTTGCATCCCAAGAAAAATAGCCTTGTTCAGTCCCAGAACATTTGCATGGATCAAAAGAGAGTCACAACAGTAGTTTGTGCACTGCTGAGACATCTGTAAAGGTGAAGAAGCTTCGCGTGCCCTCCCTGGCAGGAGGGCCTCAAAACACGAGTGAAACTTCCTGCAGGTTTATTTCTTTATCACAAGAATTCCAATCCAACTGGAACAAGTTTCACAGCCCCCATATGTGGAAGCTGTAAGTAGGGAATTACAGCATTTTGAAATGAGGAGTTACTGTGTCTAACTAGAAAATTCAACTCATTAAACTTTAAAAAATGAGTGATTGTACAGCACAGGTGACTCTGTGCTGTTAATAAAACCTGGGCAATGAACAAATACTTTCCAGCCAGCCCATTCTTTAGAGGGTCTTGAAGATGCTGCTCTGAGTTACAGCTATTCGGAGCTTTGCTGATGAAAAGCACTTGGGGTGTAACTTGAGGAGCAGCTTGACTTTGCCAGTGCAGATTTTTTACCTGATACAGCTCCTTCTTGCCTCTTTTCCTTCAGCTCAATACATGTGTAGGCTAGAAAAGCCTGTTAGAGCATTTGTGGGAGCGCAGGCTGAGAGGACCAGGAGTGAAAGATGTTTTTGCAGAAGAGGAGCGTTACCTGGGAGGATTGAAGTGCAAATGAGTCTAGTGCTGCACAATGCCACCTGTGTGCCTCTCCAGTTAAAACACACAAGTGCGTGTTGTATGTTCCATTCCCAGTCTTGCACTTCCTGTTTCCGAGCACTGTGCCTTTTCGCTGCTGGTGCTGCTGGTGAGGTGAGGCTGCGCTGTGTGTGTAAACGCACAGTGCTGAGGCTCTCAGGTTGTTTGAACACCGCTTTAGGTTCAGCTGCAGTACACAGTTCCTCTGATCTTTTATGTTCCTGAGCAGATGTCTTTCATTAATTTATGGATTTATCATCTTTCTTTCTCTCTTTTTTTTTCCCCCTTTCCTTTTTTTTTTTTTGTGTGTGTTTTTTTTTTTTACACCTGGCAGCTGGCTCAAGTTTCAGCAGTTATTGTCTATTTTGTATTACCCATAGAATTGAATGTCATCTGTCTTTACAAAGCTATAGCTAAGAGAATTGAGGCAAGCCACACGAGCTGCTGGGACAGAGCTTGTTTGCGTTCCATTCGGCACCCCTCCTCCTCCTCCTCCCTTTACCTCCTTAATATTTATTTGTGCTCGTTTTCTTTCCTGGCCTTGAATGGGGCTTAGCTCGTGTTCGGTACAGCTGTATGTTTACTGAATCTATTTCATCATGAGTCATTGTGCGTGTGTAAGTATCCTGGAAACAGCTAGTGCTTTCTTGGAAGAACAGTTGCTTTTCAGCCCAAGCACTTAAAAAGGAAATTAAGCAATTGGTCAGTTCAGGTTTTATTTTCTGAAATAGCAACGGGTTATCTAATTCTTAGCTCTTAAGTCTGTCATTAACTATTTTGGGCTAGATTATTACAGATCCTATCTTTTATCACAGTAAAGCGTTAACCTGAGGATCAGGATATACAGATTTGTGGCATATTTGAGACCGCTTTAAGGCTGCCCGGTTCTTAAGAACGAGTATAAATTTAATAATAAAAAAAAAGGATTTCTGGGAATTTGATTCTCAGAGCATCTTTTAATACATGTTTCGTTCAATGTCAATATCCTCTGGCATTAGAGCAAAAAATACTTACAAATTCTAAATGCAGAAGGAATCCAAATGCTTAGAAGACTGTCTAATATGCTTAAATCCAGCAAATAGGAGGGCTTTGGGGGGAAGTTTAAGTCCATCTTTGAGCTCCAATTGAAAGAGAGTATACGCCAAACCCGGCAGTAACATGTTGTCAGCGTCAGAGGAATTGCAAATTAAGGAGATTTAGGATTATTTTTTCCCCCTTTCTTTTTCTTTTAGTTATTGGAGTTCCCCTTTGGACCCCCACTTTCCTGAAAGAACCACCTAACAGAATGGATTTCTGGCGTAGAAGTTTTGATTTGTCTAAAACTCTTATCACTAAGCAATAGGTGACAGCTTGCTACTATTATTTCACTTACGTATTTTGACAGATGGCACTGCAGAGTGTAATGCTCTTTTAGACTTCTCTATCAGTCTAATGGAGGTAACTGGAGGTTCTTTCAACTCTTCTCTTGGCACAAGAAGTATGTCAGTCATAAATTATCTTCTTTGTAATCATTAAGCATCTAAAACAAAATGCAAGTTCAGCTGAGCCGTTTTCCGTGTTCTTCCAGATACTAAGAGTTCTTTTGAAATAATATTGTCAGTGGTTTTTTTTGTTCGGTTCGTTTTGAAACACTGCGTTTTTCCAACCAAAGAAGCACCTTGTAACTGAAATAAAAGGAGAAGGTTTCAATAGATTTCAGGAATTAGAGGAAAAAGAATTCTGCTGAAAAAGCCTCGCTAATCAGCAGCCTGCTGATAAAGATGAGTCTGGGTTTCCCTTCCCGAGGCCTGGAATGAGATGTTCTGTGCTGTAAGGTGGAAGAGGCACCTTGGCCGCAGAGCATCTGTCAACTTGGTTGACCTTCCCCCGCCATAAGGTGTGAACCAAGGGAAATTTTCAGCCATTGTGTTTAGGAGAAACAGTCCTTAGAGAAGCTTCTGGGAAGAACCCTTAATTGACCTTGTGGGGGCCACATTGATTTTTTCCACGTGCATCTTCATTTCTGATAAATTATAAAGCCATTAATTTGCTGAGGAAATGGCAGGGCCAGCCTGCGGCACAGATGTGACCAGAGCCATTCCTAGCACGCAGTTCACAAAAGAGAGCCAAGAAGCTGGGAGAAAAATCAGCAAGCCGAGATTGTTATGGTTAGCTTCACATTCCCTTGGGAACTCTTGGAGTTGCTTCTGTTTACAGATCTAAAAGGTAATGATGTTTCCAGGATAAATAGGCTGCCTTATAGGGTAAGTGGCCATTTATTGATCTGCTAGCCCGCATGTATCGACTGGTTAGCCCCAAATACAGCTTCCTTCTGGAGGAGTTAACTGTGTAAATCAGGAGGCGACAAGTTTGTGGTTGGGGGGGCCTGAACAGCAGAGGGGCTCTGCCTCTTGCAGATCTTGCTTTGATTTGCAAGGCAGCCACTGAAGCAAAGCAGCAGCTTTGGAGAGAGTTACTCAAGATGTTAGAATTTATTGACACGTGTGAATCAGGTGAGATGTACCCTGTGAAAAACAGTGCTCAGCATGAGAAAAGCACCTCTGATTGCCTTCCATGTGTTAGCTTGGGTTTGTGTAAGCGGCACGACACTGAGAGTAAAAGAAACTAGCTGGAATTGCAAAGGGAGAGGGAGGAAAAGCTGCCCATAAGTTTTCTGCGGCACATGCTTCGTGCATTTGTTTCCTTAGCAACAAGTGAACATACATATGGTACACAAGCCGTAAACTTGCAAGGTTCCCAAGACCCAGCACCAGAACTGATAAGAAACACAGGGCTTGAGTTCGCTGCCTCACATCCCTCATTTAGCTGTTTTACAGGAAAGGACAGGGCAGCAATTTAAATGTTAACATTTTCTCCTTTAGGCTGGGGAGCTGTGGAGTGTTGACGGGGGCCCTTTGCTGGCTGTGTGCATTCAGAAACAGCTTTCTCAAGAAAAGCATTTTCCTTTACTAATTCAATCCTACATGCAGGAAGGCTTGTCACCGAATCACTTGAAAAAGGCCAAGCTCATGTTCTTTTACACCCGGTACCCAAGTTCCAATATGCTGAAAACCTACTTCTCAGATGTAAAGGTAAGAAAATCTATCTCCTCTCCCCCCCACTCCCACTTCCCCTCCTTACTGCATGTAATATTTGCTCATGAAGTGGTATCATGTTATTATAATAGAGATTAAGAATATTTCCGGGTACTCAAAGGTTACAGCTGACTATTCACTCGTTCTTCTTGTTGAGGTGTACCCTGTTTGTGCCTAGATAAGGAAAGGGGATGTTTTTAAATTAAACCTAGAAAAAGAGTTTAAATTTTAGAGCAAAAGAAGAATAATTCTTACAGTAAATTAAGCAGTTTTCATTATACATATCCTATTAAAAAAGGAGATTTTTTGTGGTGGTAGAAATGTACTTCCAAGAACATTTTGGAGCAGTTCTCAAGTGTTCCCTTATTGTTTCATTTCGGTTGGTTTCCTCATATTTGTGCTTACATAAGCAGAGTGTAAAATCCCTTTCTTTCTGTCAAAAAGAAACAGTACATTGAAATTCTCCGTGCAGAAGCTGCTTAAAAACAAAAGTGATGATTGTCTCTTAT